GCCTCAGTGGGAGAGGATGTCTTGCAGCAACCTGATATGTGGGGGAGGGGGTGAAGTGTGGGTGGTGGGGAGAGCATGTAGGGGTGGTGTTTGATACAGAGGGGGACTTCTTTCCCCTTCTGAACAGAGAAGGGGGAGTGGAAATGGGGGAGGACTTGCTTGAGGGGTACTGGGAGGTGAGGAAAGACTGATATTGGGTTGTAAAGTAAATAACTAAATTTAATAATATTAAAAAAATTCATATATCAGCTTGGTTCTCTACATGAAAGTCTGCATTTTTCTTTCTACTCAGGGAAGCCATTACTGGATTGGATGATAAAAATGGTTGGAGTATAGGATTTGTCTTAATAAGTATCTCAGAAATCCGAGCCAGCACAAGACTGTGCTAGGCTGCCCAGTGAATATTTTTCAAGGCTCACTAGTGATCCTAATGAGCTTTGTAAAGTGTTATGCTATTTTCCCTCCTTGAGGACGAAGTTGTTTTATCATCTGGAGACAAATTCCTTGTGCATACTACTGAGAAAGCAATAGCTTCATGCTATATATCCTTTTTAGTTTCTTTGGTGGCATCTGTGGCTCTTCCTTTCCTAAGTAAGCCTTAGAGACATTCTCTCAAAAACTTCAGCAGGCACTTAAGATCTTTTGACCCCAAAGTGAGTCTGGCATAGGACAAGAAGCCAAGTCAGAGCAATGCAGGGGCACATGACTTAAGAAGGAAAGATTTCAGAAAGAATTTGCAGAAAATGTTGACTGCTTCCAGTTATGGGGCTTGTTTCCAGCATAGCAGGTTTGAATTCTTCCTTCTTATGGAAATTGCTGCTGGTTTAAAGTTGGAAAAGAGCATGGGTCCATTTATTTTAAATAGGAGAAAATCAGAGAGAGTATGTAAGGGGCCAGGAGCCCCACAGTTGTCACAGGCTGAGAACAGGAGAATCAATTGAATCATTGAGGTTTGTCAAGCCTAGGTAACTTGATGAGACCCTGGATCAAAGGAATTAATCAATAAAAACAGCAATAATTATTTAAACCACTAAGAGCTATGGAACATTTACTCTGTGCCTAGGATTGTTCTCAGTAGTTTGCTATTATGAAATGATTAATCCTGTGGGTCAATTTTATTAGCAGAAGGTTAAAGACATATTACCACTATGTAAAAGCAAATTTATCATTGTGAAAAATAAGATATTAATGTAATCATCTCTGTTTACAAATATATTGCCCCATCAGCCTTTCACACTCAAAGAAAACAATTGTGTTAGTTTATAAGTATAAAACCTAGTGTTCAGTGTATAATATGGTTGAGTGGCAGAACACTTACCTAGCATGTGCAAGCCCCCCAGTGTTTTAAGTCATAGCATAAGGAAAGTCAAAATAGAAAAAAAAAAGTCAACATTTAAAAACCCCAGTAGAGGCCTACAGAGAGAGTTCCCAGAGATCCTGAGTTCTTACACAGAGGAAATCTACTTCATAAAACTAAAAATATATAAATAAGGTTAGTAACTTCAGTTTGTGATCCTCAAAACAAAAACTATTAACTACAGTATTTGGAGCATCTTCTGCCCTCCATCTAGCCTTGAAGATTAACAAAAACTGATATACTTTGTAGCTAAGTGTACACTGAATACTGCTTTAAACTCTAATTCACATAAAAACCCCACACCTAGCATTTGAGACCACGTGTCTTTCTCTTTCCTTATGCTAATAGCCAACAAGAGTTGCAGCCTCTGGTTTTTGTGGAGTTAAGCCATGGTTCAATTTTCTTTGACAACTTGCAAAGTGTTAAATCATCAGCAAAGCACATGAGAATGGACAGCTATTTCAGTGTTCCCTCCATCTTTTAACAGTCATGGCTGCAGTATTATGATAGTTTATGTGGGTCACTTTAACATCACAGTGACGTCCTTAAACACTAAAAGAAAGCAATGAACTTCCTGGAACTGGAGTCACAGATGGTTTGAGGGCGGGGAATCAAGTCTGGGAACTTTAGAAGAGCAGTCAACACTGCTGAGCCATTTCTCCAGGTCCTAGCACACGTGTCTTGATTAGCAGAGGACCAACTAGAAAAAAAACTTCTCTCCCTCTCAAGCATGCTGGTCAACTCTCTTTTTCATACATGCTTGTTTCATGTTGAAGCAAGCCATAGTGGTCACATTTTTAATTGCAGCATGTGAGGCAGAGGCAGGTCCACTTCTGTTAGTTCAAGGATAGCCTGGTCAACATAGTTCTAGAATAGCCAGGGCTACAGAGTCAGATCTTGTCTCAAACAAGAGAGAGTGGAAATCCTTCTAAATATTACTTTGACCTTAGATGTCCTCCTTAATTTAAAAAAAATATATTCTTCTTTTGTTTTTTTTTTACTTATTTATGTATATGACTGCTGTCTTCCTGTATGTATGCATGACAGAAGAGGGCATTAGATACCATTAGATGGTTCTGGGCTACCATATGGGTGCTGAGAATTGAACTTAGGACCTGTGGAAGAATAACCAGTGCTTTTAACCTCTGTGCCAACTCTTCAGCCCCTCCTCACTCCTTTATTGTAGAAAATCCTTGCTTTTGTCCAAATTAGTATCCATCTACTTTTAAAGTACATATTAAGTCAACATTACCTTGTCACTTAAAAACCACTAAATGTGTGGAAACTGTAGTCTTTAAAAAAATACAAAGTTGAAAGTTTTATCAAGATCATTTTCTTTGTAGACAAGTTTATAATGTTGTCCTCCACATACCAGTTAAGACTGCAGATAATAATGACTTAGGCTGCTTCTTTCTAGTAGTTACTAACTCTCAGCTGTAAGTTAAATGAAAAGCACCTAACCATAGTTCATGACCATTCTGACCTGCTTTAAATTCACAGTGACACATGCAAAGTACACAGAGGCATGCAAGTGCTGACATCACAAATCATTTGTAACTTACTATTGAACACAGAATTCAAAGCAAATACTTTGGCCATAACTGGAGACAGAAATGATGGGAGGAAATCAGTTTTTCACAAGGAAAATGGCAAAACTTGTGTAAGTATAATAATCTGGAGTTTTCAGTAACTACTACCCATCCTCCACATCTGACAGATCTATTTGGTTTTAAGAAATCATTTATATTTTTTTAATTTGGTATTCTGCCTGCATGTATGTCTGCATGAGAGTGTCTATCTTGGAGTTACAGACAGTTGTGAGCTGCCATGTGGGTGGTGGTACTTGAACTTGGATCCTCTGGAAGAGCAATCTATGCTTTCAACCACTGTGCCATCTCTCCAGCCCCCTGTAGTTTATTTGTTTCCTGACCATATGGTGTGTTCTTTGTGTGAGCTCTGCTCAGAGGGAACATATCTGAATTTCAGTTGTCATAATGAGTCATGGTAACTGATGAGAGCATATGCTATAACAGCAGATATGCTGGTACCAAGATGAAGTATGGAAAAGGAGGACAGGCACACTGGGTAACAAATAGGAAACACTAATTTCTAGCTTGCAGTATATACAATGCCTAGCAAGGTTGACTCAAATTTAAGCTTAAAAAAATCACAAATAATCAGGCAGCACTATAATCCCAGCACTGGGAGTGCTGAGGTAAGGAGGAAATCATAAACTGGAGACCAGTCTGAGCTACACAGCCAAAAGTAGTCTTAAAACCCAAGGCAATAAATAAATGGTAACATACATAAAATCTTAAGGTAGTATATATTTGCCTTTCACCCTCAGCCCTCTGGAGGCCGAGGCAGGATGATCATGACTTTAAATCAGACTGTCTCAAAAAACAAACTAAATAAACCCCGAACACAAACAAAATCAAAAGCCCAAACATGCATGTTTCTTATCCGAGGCAGGGTCTCTTTGCAGCAATGGCTGCCTCTGCCTTGATGAAAGGTATGTACCACACCTTTAGGGTGTTCTTTTCAATTATCTGTTTTTCCCCTGTGAGACAGGGCTTCATTTGTATAGCTTTTGCTGTACTAGAATTAGCTCTGTAGACCAGGCTAGCCTTGAACTCACAGAGATCTGCCTGCCTCTGTCTCCTAAATCATGGAATTAAAGGCATATGCCACCAGGGCACTGGTTTATAGGCTGTACCCTACTCACGTGCAGCCTGGGGAAGCCAGAAGTGGGTGCCATTTCCTGTGCAACTAGAAGAATCACAAACAGTTGTAAGCCTCCATTTGAGTTGAACCTAGGTACTCTGGAGGAGCAGCTAGTACTCTTAAATGTTAAGATATCTTTGCAACCCCTTAAGAGTGTTCTTTAGTGAGAGAAGAAGCAACATCTATTTAAAACATCATCGTGCAATAATTTCTTAACAAATCTAGACTGAAAATCTATAATTCACTAAAATCTTGGCTGTAATTCTGGCAGCTAAAATATATATCTTGATAATGAACCACATGCCTGTCACACATGCTACGGGAACTGAACTAAATGCTTACAGAGAAGTGTTATGAAATCAGCATCAAACATTGAGGAATATTTTATGACACTAGACAAGGAAACAAAAGTGTAAATGCCTCTTCCAACAGACTGAAAACATCCTTCTATCTTTTAATTATCAATATGATCACCCTGGGGAAAATGAGACAGTTAAATGTCACTAGTACAAAAACTTCAGCTCAGGAAACTTCTAAGATTGAGTCTTAGATGATATCAGTAAACTTGTGTAGCATGATCTTCTATATGGTGAAGAGAAAGAATGCCTCAAAGCTGTTACTCAGCATATTGATAGATGCTCTCTAATGATGCAGGAGATTGTTTCTGCCTACTGTGAACATTGTGCTATAGCTTCGTTGTTTTCAATGTACATTTTTTTTGATATTTTGTTAAACATTCTAATAGCTGAAGAATTTAAATTTAGTAGTCAAAATGGCAAAAATGTTACAAGGTACCAGAGTATTAATATTAAATATTTATCCATTCAATACAATGGTATTTAGATTTTAAGTTTCCCAGTATACAGTGGAACAACACCGACTTTTAGTAATCATAGATTTTTGACATACTTACATAAACAAATTCATTAAAGCTTATCTTCCCATCTTTATTTCTGTCTCCATCCAGCATGAGTTTTTGTATAATTTCTCTCACTTTATATCCAGGCAATGGCATATTAGCTTCCTTGAAAAGCTCATGAAGTTCATAGTCGCAAATGAATCCGTTACTGTTGAGATCTTCATGAAAAGAAGGAAAAAACAGCCAAATAAACAAACAAAAAGAAAAGAGATTAGAAATAAATTTGCAAGAATATCATCAATGTACATGTTTGCCTCATTACAATATTTTTTAATATTTAGAAGCTGAGGATGTGTGGAAGAGGAATGTATATTTTAAATGAGAGAGTGATCTTTTGTTTGTATCATGTATCTTGTATTTTTAAAAATATATACAAAGCTTTATGTAAAAATAGCCTCCCTGATTATAAGAAACTATAGTTTCTAGTTTATAAAGCTATTATTAAATCATAGAAACAAGAGGAGTCTTAGAAACAATATATTATACACCTATATACTTTGTCCTGGTGTAATCTAATTTCTACTATCCCTATGCAGGATGTAGAATTTTTATGTGTATTCTCATGTTTTGGCAAAATAGGTTTTATAGTTTTGCAGTGTTGTATCTCAAAGCACTCTCAACGTTGAGGACTAGTTTTTTGAGCTAATGAAAATAAACATTAATCTAAGACAAATATAGAGTTCAAGAGAATAATGGAGTCCTGAGTAAAGCAGACGTTAAAAATGATTCTCTAAATGATCTTCCTATGGTTAGGCTACTGCAGCTTTGGTATATTAAAATGTAAAGGAAGAAATAATCTACAAATAAGCAAATGACCCAAGATGACCATGATGAAAATGTTTTGATTAGGGAATTGTCTTAGTTAGGGTTTTACTCCTGTGAACAGACACCATGACCAAGGCAACTCTTATAAGGACAACATTTAATTGGGGCTGGCTTACAGGTTCAGAGGTTCAGTCCATTATCATCAAGGTGGGAACATGGTAGCATCCAGGCAGGCATGGTGCAGGAGGAGCTGAGAGTTCTAGATCTCATCTGAAGGCTGCTAGCAGAATACTGACTTCCAGGCAGCTAGGATGAGTCTTATAGGCCACACCCACCCACAGTTACACACTTACTCCAACAAGGCCACATCTCTAAAGAGTGCCACTCCTTGGGCCGAACATATATAAACCATCACAGGAATTTACTTAAAAGTTCTGACAAGGCAGGGATAGGTCGTGCACACCTTTAGTCCCAGTACCAACGCTTTATACATGCTAAGTACGAGCTCTATTACTGGACTCCAAACTCTACAGTCAAATGCTCTAAAATACCGTACAAACTAATTCTCAGACATGAACTGGAGAAATAGTGCTCTAATCCTTGATGACCATTTTCAATACAAAACTAAGTAGCAAAGACCAAAAAATACAGGAAAAGCACCAAAAAAGATGGAATGCCAGTTCATCAGGAAACCAAAATTTGACGGAAATATATCTCACATAACACTTAATCTCATTCCCTTAGTTCTAATCCTGTCCCCACCCAGCAACCATCTGATCTGTAATTTGGTTTTCTAAGTGATCACAGCCATCTGTCAGAGACACTAAGCTGGACCCAAATAAAAGACGAAAAAACAGTTCAAATCTTTGAGTCTCACTTGAACCAATGGCTTTCAAATTTTTCTAAAACTTTGGAACTCCTGAGGATATTTGTCCTTCACATTTTTAGTGATTAGATGTGTATCATCTAGCCAGGCAATAAGACACACATTTAATCCCAAAAGTCTGGAGGCAAGTGGATCTTTGTGTTTGAGGCCAGCCCAGGAGAGAGAGAGAGAGAGAGAGAGAGAGAGAGAGAGAGAGAGAGAGAGAGAGAGAGAGATAGTTTGTTCCAGGTTGGCCAGGGGTTACACAGAAAAATCAAGTCATAAAAAAGGGGGGGGCAAGGAGGGAGAGAAATTGTGTCACTGTATCATCTTTCTTTCATAAATTCTTCTTGGCTACCTTCCTGTATTTTCTCAATAGATGGTAATCCTATTTACATTGTGTCATTTTGGTGATAGTATTAGCAAATCACAACGGGCCTTTCTTAGGATTGTTAGGACTGGAAGAGAACAATTTCAATGCCATTAAGAAGGCAGAGAGAGCCAGAAAATGTCAGCAGCTAACAATTAATTTTACAAACGTCCCAGCTGGTAAAGTCCTTACAAGGCACAAAACAGTGTGTAATTATTTTCAAAGCATTTTATGCTGATTGTATTTCCAATCTCCAGTTTCAAAAAGCAGAAATAAAACATAGCTGTACATCTCTGAAGCAGTGACAAGGGATCTAAGATGCAGTGGGGGAAATGAGGGAATACATGCTGGTTTCAGCAGAATCCATCCTACCAGTAACATTGTCCAATGAAAGCTAAGACCATGTTTGATGGTGAACTTTTCCCATTCTGAATTTGATATGAACATAACATCTTAGTAATATGAGCATCTAAGAAACAGACCCAGATCAAAAGCCGTTTTAACTGGAAACTATAATTGCAATCAGCATGCATGATGGTAGCTCTTTATTTTCTCATTAAAGCTGCCAACATTCTGGACCCTGTTTGTTGCTCATTCATTGCTTCTAAGTATACACTGGCATGATGTGGAAGAAGTTTTGTATTTGGAAGACTCGTCTCTTATGCCATCACACTTTCTAATGTCTGATTAAAATAATCAATGACTTACATACAGCTTATGTTATCCACAACAGTCATGATGCTTCTACGAGCATTGTAGTTCTGAAAATATGATTATTATGGGTATAATAACTCACCACAGGGAAAAAAGGAAGGCTACCTAGCTGCCAAACCAAGTGCATGCACAAAGTAATGAGCTAACATTTAACAAATATACCAAGTTTATTCAAAAAATAAATGCTGAAAAAATTATACTTGAAAAAAAATCACTAGGAGGCACTCAAGATTTTATTAGACATAATGATCTTTCACTCTGGCTGCTGAATTCATCAGAAAAGAACCAACTGTTGGTTATAAGGAATTCGCTCTCCATCTGTGTCTCTCTGTGTTTCAGATGACACATATAGAGTCCCATCTGCATTTTGTTTGAAAGGAAATCTTACTATTCTCTTTTTACCAAGTATTAGTTTAAATGCCAGTTACCTCCTTCAACATCCTCCCCCAAGTAACCTCAAAGTAAATAAACTTATGTTCCTGCAGAAGTTTGAATCACACCAAGAATGCATATCCTTAAAAGGAAATGTTTTCCCTCCCCTTGCATCCTGTTATTTAAGCTATTTTAAGTCCTTGTCTGGAGAAGGCTGAGCCAGAATTCAAGTGGTTTTGATTTTGCCTGCTGTTTTACACTGCCCTTGCCTAGGTGGTATGCGCTGTAACTCATCCTTTCAAAAGCATCTTTTAAGGTGCTACTTTGTGTTATAAATCTGACAGTAAGAGAAACAAGGATTTCCTTTGACCCTCATAGGAGAGAGAGAGAAAGAGAGAGAGATCCTTTAACTCTTCTTGAGTCTGTCTAAATATGATGTTTTTCTAGAAAAGAGCTTGCACCTGTGTGCCCTCATTTGCAATACATAGATGACTTCTCCATTAACCCATTGTGGACAGTGCTCAGTACAATTTAAAGAAGAAACTCAACCTAGTGGAGACATACAATTTTTTCAAAAGGCTGGGATTTAAAAAGTTCAGTTTAGTTTAACCCAATGTATTCTAAAAACTTCTTAATTAAAAAAAATTGATAGAGACTCAAGTGTATAATAATGGTTTTATAGAAACACACAATATCGAATGCCTATTAAAATTCACGAAATCACTGATTTAAAGACTTGACCAGGGGCTGGAGAGATTGTTCAGTATCTAAGAGTACTTGTTGCTCTTGCAGAGGACTCAGTCTTACTTCCCAGCATCTGGTAGCTTGCAATCATTCAGAACTTTTGATCCAAGGAATCTGACCCCCCTTTCTGACCATTGAAGATACCAGACACACATGTGGCACACAGACACACATGCAGGGAAAACACACAAAATAAAATTAATGACTCTAAAAATAATGTTTTAACACAACTGGCCAAAATGTCTTTATGGGAGCATATATACATATATTTTATATATTACAACCTAAGATTTAAGTAGTAAAGCCAAGCTTTCAGTATGTATTAAAGTGTGAAAACTTAGCTAGACAGTGTTTGTGGACTCCTTAATCGCAGCACTCAGGAGGCAGAGGCAGGCCAATCTCTGAGTTCTGGGCCAGCCTAATTTGCAGAGCAATTTCCAGTATGGTCAAGGCTATCCAGAGAAGCCCTGTCTTGGAAAAAAAAAAGCCAAGGAAAGTCTGTTACTAAATATCTTCAGTTGTGTATCTAACCCTGTGGCTCAGCTTCTACTTCTTGAGGTTGTCTAGTTCAACAAACAGAAAGTGGCTATTTAATGAATCTCAGTTAAGGGTAGAGTAGAGCTTGCTAATTAATACTCTATATTAGACATTCAGGAGTACACCCCCAAAGGTGGAGGTCACCTAGATTTGAACATTAGATCAATCTAGAGGACCAGAACTGGGTATTCAGAAATGTTTATAATCTTTTTCTGTGTGTTTCTAGCACTCTGCCTATAGTATTCTACCTGCTGCTACTCCCTTCTTTCTACAAATATTGATATACACATGTCTGTGGACATGTCTCACATGTGTGCCATCCTGCTTGCATTCTCACACAGGTCCTTACACAACTTTCCAGCATCAGCACATGGTCTTCAAGCTATCCCCAAACATCCACTGCTAATATTCCATAGATAATGAACCACATGCCACAGTGAAAGAGCACTAGTTAATTTATTTTTTAGTTGAGATACAGTATTTACATACTTATTTAGTATTATGAGACAGAGTCTAGGGTAACATATGCTGGTCTTGTACTTGTTAAGTAGCTAAAGCTAGCCTTGAATTTATCTTCTTCTTGTCTCTACTTCTAAATTTTTTAATTTCTGGCATATATCATCATGCCCAATTTTATTCATTTATCTGATTGTTCATTCATCTGTGTTGGCTTGAACCTAGAAATACACATACATACATACACACATATAGACACAGACACACACACGTACACATACACATGTGCCTGTGTTTGTGTGAACGTCCAGTTCCTCCTATATACTAACCAATAC